GCATCAACAGCTTGTCATTTATTGTCCAAAGGAGTGGAGCTGAAGATAGATGTCAGTTATGTGATTAGTCAGTGAAACTCCGAAAGTTCGTACCCGCAGATAGTCAGATGTACATCCAACGTTGGAGGACAGTCTTCAAAGCCTCTTTGATTAAGTTTGCATTCTGAAGTGACAGGAGAAAATTGTCAGTATTTATAGAATAAAGTGTTTCATAGTTTGGGTAGTCACAAGGTCATTCTCTGGCTATATTTTATTTCATCTTCTATTACTCGTTAATTCAGAGCTCAACCTTCAAAAGTGCCTCCTGTAATCTGAAGTAGGTCCTAAAATTTGAGCTCTTGGCAGCAGCAGCTCTTTGCAAACTGCATGGTGTTCTATCCATTGGGGTAAACTTCTCCTGCCCGCAGTTGTTGGGCTTCCCAGGAACCTTTAAGGGTTTTCCACAAACTGCAGTGCTCTCGGGATGGAGCTGCTGCGACTGCGGGCGGTGTCTGCAAGGTAGCATCCAGCCCTGTATTGCAAAATTGAGGGCTTTCAACTTCTTTCGTGGCTTTTTCATACAGAATTTGCTACATCGTAGTACGTTTTGGTATCTCACTGGTATTTTTCATTCTATTACCTAATGATAATAGCTCGTGGGTTTTCTAGCTTTACGCTTTACGTAGCTATGGGTATTTTTTTAAAGTGTTTAAAAAACTGGATGCAGAAGATACCCACCAGTGTTATGCAAGAGGTGGAGAAAAAAGAGATTGAGGGGCAACTCGGTGTGCTGTTGGACCCAAGAACCAAGAGCTGGAAAACTGGAAAGCAGCTTTTTAAACTGGAAAGCAGCCACCTTCAGACCACAAATTCAGCACGTGCTTTTCCAAGCGAGGCAGTACTCTCCAGAGCCGCGATAGAGTTTTCAGTCCCTAGATGTCTTTTGTGAAGAGTTTTTTTCCAAAAATACGGGTTATTGGGAACAAAGCAGAGCTAACTGAGAGGAATCAGACGGCCTGTATTTTGCTAAAGGAAAAAAAAAGCTGGATGATCATCGTGGCCATTTCTGGCCTTCAAATGTGTAAACGCTGCCGGCCAATAGAAGAGTTACGGAAGAAAGAAAGAAAAAAGGTTGAATTCAGCCTGGAAAGCCTGTCAGGTCATCGAGACTGTCCAGGCTGGCCTTTGAAATCCCTCCCTGCCCTCCCACACTGCAGACCTTCAAGCTTTCGTTTCGGAGAGGGAAGGAACACCACGACCCCCGATACCGTTAGCGGATCATCAGTGAGTTTCGGTGCCTTGTCTGCGCTCAGCGGACGAAGAGCACGCTCCTTGGCTCTGACCTGCGTGAGCCTCGTGCCGTTTTCCAAACCTTCCCTTTCCCCCTCCTTGGCCTACTGGGCCAAAAAGGTCGTTTTCAAAATTCCTCTGTGCGTGCGGGTGCTTAGAGAGTTTGGTTCCCTCCTCTCTTACCCTCATCCTGTGTAAATAGCTTGAGCTGCTTTGGTTTCTCCGTGAAGCGGGTTTGCCAGAGCTCCAGCGATCCCTTCAGCTTGCTGTCGAGCTCTCGCTGGGTCCTCTGCGGCTCTCCCGTGCCCAGGCTGAGCGTGCTGGCTGCGGTGCCTCGTGCATTGTCTCGCCGCTGCTGTAGCTCGGGCTGGCCTTGGCTTCCCTACCGCCAAACAGCACTCGCCCCAATAAGTTCAACGTGCCCATGAAATCGTCCGGAGTGCGCGGCGTCGCGCTGGGAGCCCGCAATTAGCAGGTTGTCCGTGGTGGGAAAGCACTTCACGAAGTCTCGGCTGATGAGGAGGCGTTCCCCAAGCCTGGGAGCGCCGCGTGGCGACCTGGCCCCTGCCTTGCTGTAAGCACGTGTTACCAGATGATCTCCGCTGCTGCTGGCGATGGAGGCTGTGGAAGCACGAGGAAGGTGATCCGTGGAAAACCAGCGTGTCCCGGGTTTAAAGACCTGCAGCCGCCACGGCCCGGAGAGCTGAGTCAGCCCTGCCACGCTGGCGGCAAGCGCAGCCTTGGGAGAAGCGCGGCTGGATCCCTCGTCCTTACAGCTCCTCGCCTGGCGGAGCAGGGGTGCTTGGCTGCTTCCCTTGCAAGTCCCCGGGAGCCCTATTCAACCCAGGTGCCAAGGACCTGTTTGCCCCAAACTGCATCTCTCCACCTGTCCCTAGAGGCTGACCCGTCTTTTGGGTTTTAAGCATTTAACACCCTTTCTCACTGACCAACTGTACCCCCTCTTCCGTCCCGGGGGGCCAGTGAAAAAGAAATTGAATAACATCAGCCAGAATGAGACATACACATTGATGGTGGTTCTTCATTAACATTTGGAGAGCCATGCTTATTTAATGTGTTGATTTTTGCAGTATTTGTAGTTGTTAACCAGAATGTTACCTTAAATAACTCTAGAATAAAAGCTATAGACTTTGAACTGACCCAGAGAGAGAAAAAGGACCGTGTAGACAGATAAAGCCACGTCTGTGGTGGGGTTTTCACACGTTCGAGGTGACCAGGCGTGTGTGATCTTCTCTTTACTGCCTTATTTTCGTGATAGTCTCAGCATTTAATAAACACCTTCTTCAAAATACAAAAAGGTGTTGAAAGAAGTACCCAGGGCAGTTAACGCGTCACGGTCTCCTGTCCTTTCAAGAACTGGTGTAGAAACCAGTTAATTCTGTTACGTGGCCTGAGCAGTTTTCTGGTTGGGGTGTGCGCTTACGGTAACGCCACCTTCACCGTCACCGTGACGCAAGCAAGCCATAGCCAGCAGATTTGTTCCGTCCAAGTAAACGGCCTGTTTCTTTTCCAGATTCTGATGCCCAATTGGTGTTTCTAAAACTAGTTGGTTGTTAAAATTCCCAGAATGACTTAGCCGTAGTGTATCACCTGAGAACACAGGGACATTCTGAGGCATTTTAAAATTCAGTCTATAACATGTAATGCCTTTAACTTTGAATTAAGACATTATGATGTCCACAGAAATAACTGTAGATGAATAAATAATCTGTGGGGTTTTTTCTTCTTAGAGTTAGTTATTGTTACCTACGCTTGGGATTTAAGCATTTCTTAAATCATGTAAGATACTGAACTTCTGACGTGCTGATGTTCGTCTTCTTTGAATTTCTCCTTATATTGGTCACTTCTTTATTTTTTTAAGTATAAAATAAAACCAGACAGTCATATTTCCTTAAAGATCTCCCAAATAGGCATCTGTAGCAATACAGGGGCTTTCTGATGCCAAGGAGAGGGAAGGTCACTCGTTGTCTCCTTTTCCTGTTACCTGGGCTCTGGTACAGCAGACATGTCAAAGCTGGCACGTCGCGCTGGTGGACAGAAGCAGCCCTGCCGAGGCGCCCGCCAGACGGGCGGCAGCTTTTCCTCTCCGAACATCTGCAGCCTTTTCTCCTCTTTTTTTTGTCTCTGTCTGTCCTCCCCTCGTTCCTTCTTGCTTGTCTGAAAGCTCTGCAGGATGCCTGGGTCTGACGTTCAGAGAGGCTTTTAAGCGGGCTTTTTTTTCCTCACAACGCTCTTGAAAAGGGCTTCCTACTACCGAGGTGCTGAGTGCAGATTTCTGGATTTTCAGTGAAAAACCCAATCGTTATATATAGGTTTCATGGTCATTGTACTGCGCTTTGCTCTGTTGTTTTGAATTGGAAGCAGGGGGGGAGTGTTGGAAACGGAAGACACAGTTATGTGGGTGAATTTCCTGAAGTGGTTTTGAAATAACCAAAGTTTATTTTCTGACTCTTTTCTTTCATGTAACTGGAACAGACAGAGAAAGGATGAATTGGAACAGAGAATGTCTGCGCTTCAAGAAAGCAGAAGAGAACTGATGGTGCAGCTCGAAGGGCTGATGAAACTGCTCAAAGTAAGCCATCTCCTGTCAGAAATGCAGAGCCTCCTTCTCTTCCCCAGGTTTGGCTGCTCTGAGATTCCTGCTTTGCTGTCGTATCATGCTGAACACCTCTTGAGGAATAGAAGGAATTTGCAAAAAGTCATTTCCATGCTGGCTCTGTGTGCTGGTGCAGATGGCTGATGGGCTTTCGGGTTCATACGCTGCTGCTTTGGTTAAAATGTCAAGAACCTGTAAGATTTGGAAAGCTTTAAGGAAATAGTAGATTCGGTAATCAACTGCATGCTGTTCTGGGTACCAGTTCAGTTCTTCCAGCTTTAACAGGAAAATAAACTGGAAGCTGTAGTTACTGCGGTACAGAGTAGGACTCCCCGGTGGCACAGTGGTCCGGTAACCCCACAATGGCCACGGGGGTTTTTTGCCTCAGAGCGCAATGGTGCTGGCTCTGAGCTGTAACCCAGGTTGTGGCTGGATTTCTGATGAGGGTCCGTTGTTATTTTCTGTGGCATCCTGCTGGAGTTGAGCTCAGAGTTGATGCTGCAGTCCGGAATACATTGACACGTTTATTCTTTCTGTTCTTTCCTTTGGGCAAGAGCCTCTGCGAAGGGAACGGCAAAACATCGTCCTTAACTCAAAGGGGGTCTAGAACAAGGTGCAACAAAGATCCTGCGGGCAGTGGAAGGAGCGGGAGGGCGACGGCAGCGCAGACAGGAGCAGCACAGGGCTGATGGATTAGCTACAGGCACATCTTGATAGTTCCAGAAAAATGTAGAGCTTGTCTGTGCCTGGAGGTGATAATGAATTCGCGGCGTCTGTAGACCTGACGTGCAGCCGCTCTTCAGATCGGGCTTGTGCTCTGGAACAGCAATGGATGTAGGAGAGGCTGTGGTCAGGTCCTCTTCAGAGGGTGGTGTTTAGTTTCCCTGTGTAGGTGAACACATGGTTAGTGTTAATATTTGGGAAGTAATTCTTTTTTTAAGAAGTCAGTGGTTCTGCACACTGTGGTTTTTTTCCTGTTCAGCCTGTCGATGTCTGCCTTCAAGCAATATTGAAGACAATCACTTGCTAAATTCACTTCAATTTCTTCAGACCCTAAACCTTTGTAAGCTGAGGTGTGAAAATGGTCATCAAAAACTGAACCACGGATTTAGGAAAGTGTAAAAAGCTGTTGCGGCAGAACCGGTTTGATTCTTTGTGGTTCAGGTGACGGCAGCCCGAGCGGTTTTCTTGCACGCGTTTGAGGAGCCTCTTGGTGACAAAATCAGTTTGGATATCTGCTTTAGCGTGGTGACGAGCTCGGGTGAGAGTTTCCTGTAGCCCCCGTTATTTTCAAAGCACTCGTAAGCCTTCGCAAATGAATTCTCCCAAACACACCCTGATGTAAACGCCGCCACCTCGTTAGGGCGGAGGGCTGTGCTGTCGGCTCGCCTGACCTTCTGCTCTGCCGCCTCGAAAGCCTTGGAGGCCGGCGGGACTGGCCTCCTCGAACGCACCGCTCGGAACCCGCGCGATGCGCCGCCCCCGGAGCAACCTGCGGGGCTTTGCCCGCCCGCGGCGGGGCGCAGCGGGCAGGCAGCACGCCTGCCCCCTCTGCCTGCCTGCCCGGGGCGCTCTCCTCTCCAAACAGGGTGTGTTTCCTCTCGCCCGACTGCTTGGGCACAGGACCGCGGCGTGGTGCGGAGCAGCAGAGATGGGTGTCGGTGACCCGCCGCCGAGGAGAGCCCGGAGGGTCCCGCAGGGTATTGCAGAGGGAGGAGGGCGGGAGTGGCAGGTGGCGCAGCTGGGGAGAGGCAGGAGGGAGGAAGGAAGGTTGCAGAAGAGGGAAGGGAACCGTAACTGACTCACGGTTGATAAACTTGATGTTTTTAGGGCCCATTCATTAAGTTGAATCATGCAGTTCAGTTATGAGCGTGACGGGAACTTTAATGACATCTTCTAGGCTGTATTATGCAGAAGGTTACTTTAGAAGCTGGCTTTTACTAGGCTTTTCATTTATACATCAGGTGTCTTTTAATTAATTCCCCCAGTTCCCAAAGTTGTTTAAAAACTATAAGGGCAAATAGGACTGGAGATATATATATATAATAGGACTGGATATCTATGTAATAGGACTGGATATCTATATAGTAGGACTGGACCTGCTTTAGCAGGGGGGTTGGACTAGGTGTTATCCAGTGATCCCTTCCAGCAATCCCTTCCAGCCCCCACCATTCTGTGAGCCAGTGATTCTGTGATAAGGAGAAACTCCTTCCCGACGAGGATGTTCAAGCAGTGGCGCAGGGGCCCAGAGAGGTTTTGCTGCCTCCATCCTTGGAGGCTTTCAAGACCCAACTGGGTAGGGCTCTAAGATTAAATTGTCACCATTCTGAGCAGGGGGCTGGACTAGAGACCTCCTGAGGTCCCTTCCAACCCGAAATATCCTGCGAGCCTGTGGCTGTGGGAATTATTTGGTTCTTGCATAATACAGTTCTTTGCATTTCCCCTTCTTCGCTTTCTATGGAGCCTGGCAGCTTCTCATTGATTAAAGCATCTTCTAGAAAGACATCTGTTCTTGAGCTGAAGAAATCAAAAAGGGAAAAATCACTGCCAATGCAAATTTGCTTGCACGGTTAAAAATTTATGCCTCATTTTCAGTTTTAATGTATTTAGCTTCAGTTTACACCCGTTGGCTTTGGTACATGTGGTTCTCCCTCCATTAAATTAAGGAGTACTTTAGCACCCCTGGTTTTTTCCTACGCACATACTTACTCATCTCCGTGAAGGCACTTCTCAATCTTCTTTTTTAAATGAGTTAAACAAGTAGAGCTTTTCTGAGCTCCTCACAGTACTGTACTGCAGCATTTTTTATGGTTGATTTCTTTGCCTTCTCCAGATTTTTAATATCATTTTTTTAATTGGGAAAAAAACAAACTGTATTTTGAATTCTTCTCTGAGTCTTAGCAGCACTATGCAGAAAGTTACAGGAGGAGTTTCATTACCCTTCATCACTATTTCCCTTTTTTTGTGCCTTTCTGCACCAGTGAGTGCTTTTCGAAAGCTGTCAGTTACCCAGATCCTGCTCCCTGTAAAGGGCTTTATTTATTTTGTATTGTGCTAACTGGTTAATGACAATGTATTCCAAGTTTGGCCTCTAAAGGAATTGCAGATATGAAAATATATTACATCTGTGCGGTTCCTTTAGAAGCCAAACTTGTAATATATTCAAATAACAAAATCAGATTTATTTGGCAACATCTCTTTTCCACGAAGTTATAATGCTTCCTATATTACTTACTAGCTGAGTCTTGTATCAGCATTTCTGTTGCTTTGAATAAATTAATGACAGGGTAAGATGTTTGTGCTTATTTAAGTCGCCTTACCTCCCTTGTAGAGTATCAGTGCAACTCAGCATATTCCAGTCCTGGGTATTCCAAGATCTATTAAAAATTACCTCCCCTGGACCGGATAATGCCTCATGTTGTTACATTAAGCATCCCAGCCGCAAGCTGCTCAGGCCTGCTGATCTAAAAATATTATTATTTCTAGTAAATACTTTTTAACACCTTTTCTCGTTATTAGTGGAAAGTGCTTCGCTGTTTGCTGACAGAAACTACGAGGGGAAAGTACTTATTAGTCAAACGCAGAACAGAAATACTAATTCCTCTCTCCATATGAAGAATTTTACCGTGACTCTCAAGAAGCAGTATACACCACCTCAAGGCTTCGTTTTGTTTCTGGTAGTTGTGTTCATTTCAAAGTCTCCTTTTTGGTGCTTTTAGCCCTGCCAGACGTGAATTTTTCCTGCAAGGTTTTCGCTTCTCTGATCATTTGGTGCACTTCAAAAATTTTCATTTATAATTTACATCAGCTGTTAAGCTTTTATGTTTTTTTTCCATTTTCTTATGCAGTATTTTTTACATTTTTAATGCTGCCTTCATTTCACCATTTAGAGCTGGATTCAGCTTCCCTAGCTCGGGTTATGTGAAAGTTTGGTGCCTCAACTCCCTCGGTAAAAACGGAGAGAGAGGAGGAAAGCCTAGATTTGGAAGGACATAGCTGTTCTCTGGAGGTTCATCCATTCTCCCACGGCGAGCCATGCTGTGCTAGTGGGCCGCAGAGCAGAGAAGAGCCCTCGGCCATTTTGATTGCTAGCACAGAGATAACCAAAACCCCGCGGTTGGTGTCCCGCCGTGGTGTTTATGAGCCCGCACAGTGCCCTCCCCACGCCGCTGCAGTTTAAGGTTAAGGTTGGGGTTTGCATTGCGTTTCCTTCCACATCTCGTCTCCTCCTGTGGAGGTTTCAGTTGCAGGAATTTGTTGGTGGTTTTCCCCGAAGGAGAAGTTCTGGCCCTTCAGCTCTTCACAAAGTGCTGTCGTTGGCGTCTTCTGCTGGGTCGTCCCACGCGCTTGGGAGACGCCGGCTGGGTCTGTCCGGGGGGAGCTCGGTGGTGCCAGACGCAGCGTTCCTCGGACAGGACTCACCTCCCCGCTCTGCTGTTGCTGCGGTCGCTGACGTGCCTTTGGGTCAGAGCTACCAGTGCTTCCCCAAACCATCTCCAGCCGCCATCTAGAGGTTATCAGGTGCCCGGACCCATTCCCGGGGGGCGGTTTGAATAAGGCCACCCCAGTTGGGGTGTCAAGGGATCTTAGCAGCATGGTTGTGTGCGGAGCACGCCGGAGAACAGTTGCACCGTTTCGTTTGCTGCCAGAGCCTCCGAGTCTGCAGGGCTGCTGCAGTGGCCACCGCAGGACTCCCCATTGCCTGCTGGCCTCGTGTCCCCCTGGCTGTTGCAGCCAGTCTGGGCTGAACGGTGGCCAGTGACCTGTCAGTACGGTCATCAGCGACTTTCTTCCAGTATTTTTCATCATCTTTTCCTCATCCAGGCCGCTGGCTTAGCTTTCCCTTTTTTCCTGAAGCCTTCTGTAATCACCTAGTCCCATTAGCTGGCACCTTTCTAATAAGCAGCCCGCAGTGATGACTGTCTGCCTTCTTGCCAGGCTTTTGCTTTCAGCTACACGGATATTCAGCAGACATATCCCATTCCGCTTCTTCCATTTCCGCAATGGTAATTTCCTCACTAGCTGATCTGATGATTTATCTAATAACCGCTCAGTCCTTCTAGCAAAGCTCCATGCCTCTTGAGACTTTTTTTTTGTCCACATCTGTAGTGAATCCTGAGCCTTGTTTTTCAAACTAACAGCTTTTTTGTAGAGTGGAGATCGTTTAAGATCTTTTCCCTGACCTGGCTCACCATCTGGTCCTGCGAGTCCCAGTGCTGATAGGAGGAACAACTGGAAACATGTGGGAATGTGGGGAGGGCAGCACTGGCCTCCACTGCTCGTGTTGGTCCGTGGTTGAGTGGAACCATACCCCACATCTGCTGCATCAGTGTTTGAATACACACCTGAAAGAACCCCAAGCCTTGGGAAGAAAAAACCCAAAAGTATCTGCTCAGAAATGGGGAGTTCGCCGCAGTCGTTCCCTGGTATCTCTGCAGGGCCCTCAGTGCGCGGTTAGGAAAACATCTTTCAGCGCAGTGGTCGGGGAGAAGCTGCTCTGAATTAAGGGTCTGGTTAATCCTGCTCAGATGGGAAATAAATGAGGGAAGGTGGATAAATGGGTTCATGGATTTCCAGGCCAGAAGGAGCTTTTATTCCATGAATTTTAATTCCATGACCTGAATTTCTGAGGAGAGTGGTGGCCCTGCTGCCCTCTGCACTGGCAGTCCGTGCAAAGCCACCCTTGGAGGGAGCACACACTGTTGCCCTGAAAAAGCTGCAGTTGCTATTTCTGCGCAGATGAGAGTCATCCCAACCACGGTGCCAGCTTTTCTTTCGAGGCACAGGGTTGCTACCCGCACCACAACCGCCGGGCTGCTCCACGCAACCCGCCCGCCGGCCACGGGCCGCAGGGCTCGTAACGGTTGTTACGTGTGCGAGGACAAAATCCGATAAACTTTTGAATTACGACAGAAACTGATATTTTCCTCATTTCCAGGAATAGTTGAAGTCAGAATGGGACCCCACTGGCCCAGCAGGGTCACAGTGTGCCTTTCTCTGCTTCAAAAGAGAATAAATTCATCCATATTTCACCTTTTCTGGTCTTTCAAATTAGTAGTGATCCATACTGACAAGCGTTGTGTGGCCGCACAGGGATTGTTTTCTCTGCATCTTTGTCCTTAGTCCACATCTTTGGTGCTTTTGCCTCCCGGTTTCTCCCCTCCCATTCTGGACCCAGTTTCCAGCCACTCATTAATTTGCCCTTTTGGATCCCATCTGCAGAGGTCCCTGCAGCCCCGTGGTGACAGGCGCTCTCTGACT